GTGTATTATATTGTTGGATTGATTAATATTATGTTATTTGTGTTGGAATGTTATCGAAACTTTTGATTTAAAATTTGATTCCATATTACTTACGAACTGTCAAAAATAATATGTTGTATTTGGATTGGTTAATATTATATTGTTTTATGTTGGAATGTTTGCTGACATTTCTGGTTTAAAATTTACCAATTCCCTATTACTTACGCACTATCGTAATAGTGTATTTATTGTAGATGGATTGGTTAAAATTATATTGCTTATGTTGGAATATTTGTTGACATTTCTAGTTTAAAATTTACCGATTCTGTATACTTACTTACTATTGTAATATAGCATGTGGATTGGTTAATATCGATATTATGTCATTTATGTTAAATATTATCAACCTTTTCTTTAAAAATTTGCTGATTCCGGATTACTTACTCACTGTCGTAATATAACGTATTATATCGTATATTGTTTAATTTTATTTGTGTTGGAATATCCACAACATTTCTGATTTAAAAATGTTTTGATTCCGTATTACTTACTCACTATCGTAATATAGAGTATTGTAATCAGTAGTGTATTGAATGTAAATTAGTTAATCTTATGTTATTTGCGTTGATATTATCGACATTTCTAATTTGAAGTTTTTCTGATTTTATATTACTTACTCACTATCGTAATATATTGTATTGTATATAAGGTTTATGTTATTTTTTTGGAATATTAACAACATTCTGATTTAAAATTTTCAAGTTCAGATTCCGATTACTTACAGACTAGGTGTGAATATATAAATAAATTTATGTCTTTTTAAGATACTGATTTTATGAGTATATTATACTTACAATTCTTCAACTAGTTTATGGGCTTTTCTTGTCCATGCATCATCTGGTTTAATTTCTAATAAATTATCCAAGTCAGCAATTGATTCACTATACCTTTTCACTATATAATTAATTTCTCCACGATATTTTAGTGCTTTTATGTTCTTTGATTCAATTTCTAGCAATCTAGTTAAATCTGCATGTGCTTCTTCGTATTTTCCTATAATTAAGTAAGCTTTTACTTTAGACATTAGCGCAGATGTATCATTTGGTTTATTTTTTAATTCGTTTATGTATTGATCAAAGGTTTTAGAATTGATCCAGCATGCCTTCCATAGTTCATTATCGATATCATCGCTAGTCATTGCTATTTATAAAGAGTTATTATCGTTATTGAAAATTTCAAATATGCATAAATTTAATATTAAATCAAATTTACTTAAATATTTAAATTTTTCATGTCCAAAATTTGCCTTGATAGACGCGTCTTGAGATCTTAGTCCAATGCAAGGATACAAATGGTTTTTTAAATGATCGAATTTATTAGGTAGATAACATGCAATTCCTTGAAATAATTAAATATCAGATTCAGATAAATTAGTTTCAAATGATTAAAAATATGAAAATAATCTGAATTTACCTAGATTTACACCATTTTTAGTATAAAATATCACCCTATCGTCATTTCTAAAATTTAAATAACATCCAATTGTATCTCCAGCAGTATATGTTGGTCCATATGGCTCTCCACTTCCTGAGCAAAAAAGATATCCATCATCACCATGGTAAGCGCATCCCCACGATTTAATTTCCTCATGTTTCTTAATTTCTTTATCTTCCATATGCTCCAGCCCTAAGAAATATTATGATTTAGTATTAATATGTAATAATAAAAATAAATAACGAAAAGTCTATTATTACCGGGCATGAAATAATCATCAATGCATGTATTACTTTGTTCTGTACAATATCCTACTCCAATCATTCTATTAATAAATAGATTTAAAGTGATTATGAAAAAATTACAACAATAAGGATTTAATACATATGAAATAATTATTTAATATTACCCATTTTTTCCTCCATTTATAATCTCAATTTCAAAATAAAATAATCCGCACTGTGAAGGAATTGGATTATTGGCTCGAATTACAATAGCCTTATAATCATCAGAATCTTTAAAAAATTTTTTTAACAAATTAATAATATATTTTTAAGAATTTCTCTTTTATTAAAATTTATTGCACATCTTACTCGTATAATTCACTTTAAGACCACTTGAATCTATGCTAATAAACTGCGATTTATCATCATTATTCCACGCAGTCGGTAAAACAAGACCATCGAACAAAGTTGTCTCCTCAATCATATCAAATTTCTATTCAGAACTTTTGTCTAGACAAAAGCAATTTATTTTAGGCGCAACATTATCTAATTTATGTACCGGTACGTATACTCCGTCTTTATATACGTCGTACGTACGCACATAAATGTCTGGTAACGAAATGTTGTGAAACGTCGATTGTATGTAATTCACTAAAGCTAACGATAAGAAGTTAGATTAGCTATATTAGACATTCAATTATAGCAGTACGCGGTTCTGTGAAAAGTGCTTAATAATTGTCATTTACCACAAATTCTTAAGAAAAGGTAATCTAAATCTAGGTGTTAATTGACTTACGATAGTCCGAATTAAATTTATTGGTCATGCGGCCATGAATATCTTTAAGTTTCCAAAATTTTTCTTATTAACGTGTATATGAATAAAACTCACTTTGCTCCTTTTTTTTTTACTGTTTTCATAGAGGATGTCTGTTGACTTTTCTAGTAAACTAGAGTCCTTAGTTAATCATGCAGCCAAAAAAGTTCAATATAACCCAATCAAAAAAGTTTTTTTTGTTCTTGGAAATGAATCTGCTGGTTTGCAATATTTAATATTTAAATATGAATTGTGTACAGAACAAAAAAATCATGAATCTTAAATATTTTTCTTGTAGATTTAGATTCCATTATGGGATCAATATCTTATGCATATCTAAGCACTCAATCTTGTCCTTCCGACACTATGTACCTTCCGATTATTCAAATTCCAAGATCTGATTTTTCATTGCGCCCAGAATGCAATTTCGTTTTTCAAAAATATGAAATTTCTACCGCTTCTCTAATCTTTTTGGATGAAATTTCTGACCATCTTTCAATTATTTCAAAATCATATAATCTCAGCTTAATCCTTCTAGATCATAATAAATTGATAGGTATTTGGAACCAGTTTGCGGATAAAGTTGATACAATTTTAGACCATCATCAAGATGAAGGTCTGTATCTTAATATTAGGGAACGATATATTGAAGGAGTTGGATCCGCTACATCATTAGTGGTTTTGAAGTTTAAAGATACACAAAATTGGAATAAGATTATTGCCAATTTATTATTATCTGCAATTTTGGTCGATACTGCACTATTAGACTTCTCACAAGGCAGAACAACTCAAAAAGATCAAGAAGCTGTAGATTTATTGTTGGATATCTTAGATCCTTCAGATCCAAAAATATTTATTAAAGATTATTATGATGAGATTCAAAATGCTAAATCTAACATCACTCATCTCTCGAATTTTGATTTGTTGCGGAAGGATTATAAAGAATATAATTTAGAATGGACCACAAAAAATGAAACAAAAATTTGTGCTATGGGAATTAGTTCTGTGGTATGGACATTAAAAGATTGGATTCTTCGTGAAGGTGGTGTTGAGAAGTTTATAGAAGCAGTTGGAAATTATATTCAGGAAAAAAAATTAGATTTGGGAATTATCATGTTAGCATTTGATCATAAAGGCGATGTGGGATTTAAAAGAGAGATGGTAATTTATTCAAAAAAAGGACCATTTTGTCAAAAGGAAGTTTTAGAAAGGTTTGAAAAGATTATTGGATTGAATGAGATTAAATATTTTGAGAATGGAAAAGGTGATAGAGAAAAAGAAGAAAGTACAATTAAATATTATGAACAAAAAGATATTAAAATTTCAAGAAAAAAAGTTTATCCTATTATTAAAGACATGTTTTTAGAAGCTTAGCAAACATAGTTTTACACAAGGGTACTTTTTTTTTTTGATACAAGTTAATAATTATATTTTTTTATACATAATAAATAAATTTCTTAAAAACATTATATTCATGATTATAAAATTATTATGAAATTATTTTTATTAACAGCATCCAAACTGCCACTCTTTTATATCACCATTGTACGATAATAAATATTCATTAACCCCATATAAGCACATCTAACAGAATTCTTCACCCAACATCTTTATAAAAAACTCCCCAACTTTTGAAAAATACTCTGGTTGTGAAACAGTATCATAGTGCGACCCATTCGTTATTTCTTGAAACATTTTTCCACCGCTAGTATTAGCCAATTCATATAAAGTTCTCATATGTTGAGGTGGAACAAGTTCATCATTCAAACCTGAAAGAAATAAAATTGGAACTGTTCGAAGCTTTGCTATATAACTATCAGATGGCCAAATTTCGGAACAGATGAAGGTTAAATAACGAAGTTTTGGGACTATGTGGGGAATCACTTTTGGCTATTGATTCATTAAATTTCGATATTGGTTAATGAGTGATGATATAATTGCATGAATAAAGTTGATTATATAAACTTACAATACTCAAAAAAGTATTTTCAATAATCAGCGCATCAACTTTAGATTCGTTCCTATACACCAAATCGATTGCTACAGATCCACCAAGTGATTGTCCATATACTATTAATTTCGTATTTTTTAATATGGAATCTTGCTTAATATAATCCAATGCTGCCTATTTTTAAATAAAACCTTAAGATTAATAATAAATTCTATAGAAACTTTCATAATAGTTTACGAACCTGTGCATCCAGACGAAGTCCGTTTTCAGAAGGAGATCCGTCACTTTTACCATATCTACAAATAAAATTAGGTTGATTGAAAATGGAAATTTATTTAATCTACATAATTACGATGATTACTCACCCTCTGTAAGAGACTAGCATAACATTACATCTGAAATTCTTATAAAATTTTTCTGCAATTGGTAACCTATGGCCCTATATCCAATTTCCTATGAGAAAAGCTAAGAATCAACAGGATTAACAAATTAAGAATCAAACCATACCATATTACCACCACTTCCCTATTCAAAGAAATAAAAAAAACTCTGTTAAAAACTTTCTATCGTATAAGACATAATACTAACGAGCTTACATGAAACATTAACATGGTAGGCCTTGTGCTAGCATCATCGGTTCTTTTACAAACATAAGCACGAATCTTTACGTCATCCTTTGTTTCTAAAATCACACTAATGTAAGGAATATTATAATCTGATGGTTTTGGAACCTATGATTGTGTATTTATAAGAATTGATGAGGCAAAATGCCTCAAAAAAAAAAAGATCGAAAATTAACGTTTATGTGCATGTGAATTAACTATGCATATTTATTAACATGTGATATTAATTTATATGCAAATTGCGTAAACAACTCAAATTTCGTAATTTTGGAAAATATATACATACATGCTTCCTGGATCCTTTAGGATAATTAGCAGTATAAATCAAAGTACATTGAAACGTATACAGTAATGCTATCCCACTAATTACTGCAGTCGTGCCTCCGATTATCAAATATGGTAAAGCAGACTTTACAATTTGGCCAACTGACTTCCTGGAAAAGCGATGATTCATTTTTTTTTTTTCAAGAAAATTGGAATAGGGGAATATGTATTACAATTTTAGTGTTACATGTATGTCAATGCCACACCTAATAGAGCTTTGTAACCAACGTGCAATTTGTTTATCATCATAGGACTCTAATCATTAGAAGTATCGTTCTTGCATTCTACAGAATTACTCTAATAACAAATTCTACACTTATCGTTTTTACTGTATATATTTATTTTACTAAACTAAATAGAATTCATGCATTCTTTATAAACAATCTATCGAATCGTGAATAAGCACCTCTGCATATGAAATTAACCCACTTCCGGACATTACAAACGTTCCCATAAATTCTGAGACAAACTAAAAACTTGCTCGTTTCCAGAAATATCTGGTTTTTCCTAAATATTAACTAATTTCTTGGAAGCTACATCGAACAAGTTTCTAGTTTGTCCCAGCATTTTTTAAAACTGCTGTAAGGAACTGCCGGGATTGTACTTGAAAATCTACAAGTCGATATAACAAATGTTCTCAAACTTTGGAGTGCATTCCGGCAGTTCATCTTTGAACAACCTTACTAGAAGTATAATCCGGTCAAAAAACATGTATTCGAATATTCGTTTGTTTAACGAACATTTATTAAAATGAATAAACTAAATGTTCATTAAACATTATAATACAAATTGATTTTGTACTAATAATTAATAATTATTCATTGGTTTTTATTTATACTTCCATACCATCTTTTTCACGTTTATTGCCTGGATCTCATATTCTGGTTGATTCACACTTCTTTTTTATTATACATCTTTTTTATTTGGTTTATTTTATGGCATCAAAATGAATTATTTTAACATGCTTGAGGTGCTGTAAAAGTTGGTGGCTAAGAAAAAAATAAAGGCCATTGATAAAGCTAAAAACTTTCACTTTTAATTAAAAAGTAGTATAGAAGTATATTACTTTCTTAAATTAATCGAATCATTCTTTGATAAATCTCTTCTATTTTTTTTTTTTTTTTTTTTTTTATAAATATCCTCCTCTCTTTATTATACTCTAGCCATATTTTTTTTCTCCTCCCTAATATAAACCTGGCATCAAATAATCTGCCGTTCTTCCTCAATACAGGTACAGTACAAGCACTAAAATTATTAGTTGTAGTTTAGCATTGTTATTTCAAAACCTTACACATCTCGCGTTTGTCCCTCAGAAAATCGAATTCGGTTTGTTAAAATTTAATTATACAATACGATCGAAATTTATTAATAATATACCACCACTAGTGTTAGTAGCCTATTGACCCAGCTAATTGATATTATAAAAATCGGTTTAGTCGGCTTAATTGATTAAGCGATAAACATTCAAACTAGAACACCTTAGTTGGAATCCACATATAATTAGGGATGGCAAATGTTTTTTATTACGTAATTAAAAACAGGTGAAGATAAATTAGAAAACAGGTGTGCATTATTTAAATCAATATTCGGACTTTAATCATCACATGTTTTAAACAGGTGAAAAAATGTTTTAAACTGTTTTTTT